GGGGGGGGGGGGGAGGTGTATACCAAATACCTTATAGATATCTGTCATAATGCCTATAACAGAGTCTCAAAACTGTCATAAACAATATGCCAAACATTTTATACCTCACAAAATCTAAATATACCAAATCCCATGTAAATATACTGCATACAAGAGCTAAAACTCTTTTGATACTGCATACCCAAAAACTCCTGGTTGACCTCAAGCAATGAAGAATTGACAAGAGATTCTACAGGGAATCGATGCAGATCTGATTCATTATCCATCAATTATCAATCAGTCAGTCATCAATATATTCTGTCCATGCTGACTGAGCCTAGTATGAAAATGACTAAGTAAAAGAATACAAGAGACTAATTTTGTAAATTGTTATACGTCCAAGAATTGGTGCTGTCTACCTCACTGTACCATATTCTAAAGAATGACCAGGTGCAGATAAAAACATTCATTGGTCTATGCACATACGAAACGTCAATGTTTTGTCATTAAAATTTGCTAGCGCTATACTTCTTTTAATTTGCTTTTATTATTTCTTCTACAACCAAACTAAAACCCTTTTAAAACGAGTATAATTCAACCTTTCTTTCTTAACAATCTATCAACAACAACCTCTTTTTCACTATCACGCATATTCCACAGAGAACCCAAGTGTTCCACAGACAAATCTAACAAACAATCAATCACAATAAACTATTCCTATAACTCCTCCCCTCCAAATATATCTAAGGGTCTCTGTTTGTTGTTTGTTTCGTCTTAATCTAGTTCCAATTGTCACTATCAGTCACTATCTTCCACTAATCCCGAAATTCTACTTGTTCACCGTCCAATCCATATGTTAGACGAAGCGGTGGGTTTCTGTTCCTCTGCAGTCTTGATCATGCGGCATTTACCTTTCTCCAGACTGTTTCTCCCAATATTTTTGTTACAACGTAAGGTCCCCTCCATCGTTCTGCAAGTAATTTCTTTGACAGCCCTTTCGTTGATGGCGGCCCATACATCCACACTTTCTCCCCCTCTTTAAAGGGTGTAAACCTAATGTCCTTTTTCTGTCTCTTAAGGCGTTTTGCATGTTCGTCCATGACACGTGTTTTCACTTTCCGGTGTGCGTCTTCAAATCGGGTAAACTTGTTGCGGAATTCCTTTGCGTCTTGGGGTTGGCCATCGTCTTGCTTGTCCTTGAAATGAACGACATCTGCCACCGTTCGTGCTTCCGAACCAAATAAGAGAAAATATGGTGTCTCCACGGTCGTAGTGTTCGGTGCTGTACGAATGGCAGCCAATGCTGACGGGAGTTTCTCGTCCCAGTCACTTTGGTCCACTGCTTCGAGATCCTCGCCAAGCATTCGGCCAAAGTTCGGTTAGTGCGCTCCGCTCGACCATTTCTTTGAGGATTGAACGGGAACTGCGAGTGCTTTGATTGATACCCAGTCGTTGACAAAGTTCTTTAATTAAATTTGCCTTAAAGTTTCTTCCCTGATCTGCGTGTAAACCTTCGGATTCACCATACCTGCACACAATTCCCTGATATATCTTATCAGCCGTTGTTTTCGCTATTTGGTTAGGCATGGTGAATGCTTCAGGCATTTACTGAATGAGTCGGTTAGAATCAGAAGATATCGATTGTCATGAGTTGTCTTAACCAACGGGCCCACGACATCCATATGCCACGACTGACATGGACCATCTGGAATTGGTAACGTCCCCACTGACCGATGGTCTGGAACCGTTGAGTTCTTCGGTTTTAGACACGCTTCACATGAATTGTACCATGCTGTTACATTCTTTTGGAGGCCAAACAAAAAACCCCTTGATTTACTTTCATTAAATCCAAGGTTGTAAAAATTTTTACTCGCAAGCTGTCGTCAATTCTCGGAATTGGGAATGAATCTCCAACTGTCACCTTGCTTAATTTGCGGAAGTCAACACAGAACCTAGTCCTCCCATCGGTCTTTTTAACAAGTACAAGAGGACTTGCCCATGGACTTCGACTGGATCAAATGATGTTCTTTGAAAGACAATCTTGAACAAACTGGTCCACTTCCTGTAACTTGTGAAGTGGCACACGTCGGGCTGGTTGCGACTGTGGGCCCAATGTTCCTGTTGGAAACATGCTCCACCGCATCAGTCGTTCCGAGCTCGCCGTCCACTGAAAATACACCAGCATTTGTTCTTATCAATTTATACAGACGTTGTTTTGCACTTTCTGAAATCTTCTTCCCGAGATTCGACAAAAGTTAGCGTGGACGTTATCAGATGGTAGTAGTCTTAAAGATGTTGTGTCGCGTGCTGCACAAATGGAACAAGAAGCAAGCAGTAGTGGTATAAATGCTATTATCTCTTACCACACTGGAAACTCTGACTCACAACCATAAGAGAAATCGACTAGCAATGAAGCCTCCCAAGATCGTTTTTGGAAAGACTTACATGATTTAACGCTTGGACACCAACAGCTTGCTCAAACCATAGCTGTTATGCAAGCAGAACCTAGAACACAACGTAGAGAATCTCGACAGCGAACCGGAAATTGTTATAATTGTGGAACACCTGCTCACTTTGCACGCGATTGTCGTCGAAAATATACCCATAAAGTACCAAACCAAGGTCCACCTAACCAATTTAACGGAATTTGTTTTCAATGCCATCAGTGGGGTCACAAATCTGATTCCTGTCCATTTCGAAGCGACAGACATCCAGCTCAAACGCAACTGAACAGGCCTTCGGTCCCAAAAGAAACGATTGTTGAAAATTTAAGTGCTTCATACAACAGATATGGGGTATTAGAAGTAAATGAAGTTTCGTAAGATTGTAATGACAGTGGTAATGATTCTGTTTTTATGGGACAGCAGGTATATGCATAGGGTAGAAAGACACGAAAGCAAAGGCGAAACGAGCAAGTGGAAAGAGAGTATAGGAACAAACAAAATGAACTCAAGGGAGAGAAAGCGAAAATTCATGACATCACGTGCGGCAAAAGACATTGCTGAGGCAGATTAACCAGCAATTTTACAAGGAAGACATCACCATTGGTATCGATCGGCGACAACCACATGTGGCCGGGACTATAGCATACTATCCCAAACAGAAATTTACGGTGAAGTGGGTGGGTAACCGTGTGTCTGGTTAATAGACATTTGTGCTAAAAAATCAGTGTTATATCTCAAAATCTCGCTTCAATGGCCAGAGGACGTCGAGTACCAGCACGCTACACTCCACACTACACACGGTGGACTGACAGGGGCGGACTGGTAACTTTCCGGGCCTCGGTCAGGAATAAAATCGATCGGGCCCATGTACGAGTGTAAATAATATATAGTTTTTTAAAATATTATTTTCTTTGCTTAAAATAATATGTAAATTGAATTATAAGTCGCTGAGATCGTCATCATTTTGTAGACCGTGTCTACTTAATTTAAGCAAAGCTTCAGCTATCGTGGTTATATTGATCATTTCTGGGTGTGTTTTTACTTCCTTAAACATGTTAGGATCAAAGCACGCAATCATAGTTCCTTGTGATCAGAGAATCGGTTGCTGATGCTTAGGACCACTGTATCCAGGATAACATTATGACAATTTATCTCAAAATGTTTTTCAGCACTTTACACTCTGCGTGCCCTTCGAGTTGCGCGAATTTCTGGTAAGTCGGTTGTCAAATTAACGAATGCCTTCTTCGGATAATTTGTCATTAACTCCACTGATAAACGTTGTCGCATGCTGGTAGATAGCATGCGGCAAAATCTCTAGAGATCAGGCTTAGTTTGTCCGTTGCTTCGCTAATCATTCTCCATGCTTGAAGAACATCTAATCCAGGTGTCTGCAGATAATCCGACACTGGGGTGGTGATATAAAATATTTGAATATATGTGAATGCGACTAACACAGGTTCAAACTTTGAAAGACTTTCCACCAGGCACTTGGCTTCGTATCGAATACTACCTTATCTGAGAATAGTTCTTTAAATTGTGTCGTCAGTAAAACTGCCAAACAAATTTCTCAAGGCTCTCGCTCGGCTGGACCACCTGGTTAGGCAAAACCTCGCTAATATTCGAAGAAACCATGGCCGATATTATCTTCAATCTACGTTGCCCACACATGCGTGTTCTTGTTTGAATAGATTTGCCATTTGATTCAGTAGCCCAGACTTACAGCTAAGCTTGGGTGGAAACGGTGGATGCATCACCAATGACCAATTGAGGACGTGCGCATAACACTAGGTATGCACATGGCTAGGACGTTTAAGTAGAGCTTGTAAGCCGTTGTAGACACCACTCATATTCGCTGCTCCGTCGAATGAATCGCCAATGCACATGTCCAGTTAAACTCCTACTTCTTCTAAGACTTCTCGAGTAAATTGTGGAGACTTTGGGTTCTTGAGTAGGACACAAATACAAGACGCAATAGCCTTTCTCTCCCTTTGTCCTCTTCTACATACCTTATAACAACAGCATGCTGATCGTGGATAGACTCATCTGTAGTAGAATCCATCTGTACAGAAAATAAGCCAGCATCATTTACATTTGTGGCAATTCTCTCTAACACTTGTTTTGCTGAGAAAATTTACAAAATTTTCCCGACCTTTCTATTTAGGATCGCGTTTCTTTGCCAACTTTATTTCCTCATTCAAATGAGCCTGGAGGGTTGGATATAACTCAGTAATAAGCCCCTAGAAAATTGCCATGGTTTACAACAGCTGTTACAACTGTACTGTCATCAAAAGCAGTTGCTACAGATTCTGAATGTTTACTTTGAAAAGGCAGAGTCTGAAGTGCAAAAAGAATATAACGCTGATTTCCGCCAGGTGACTTTTTGGATAAATGGTTTGTTGTCATTCGAAATCTAGGCTGAATTCCGGGCCCCCAATGTTCTCCGGGTCTCGGTCCGCGCCCGAATGCCCGACCGTCCAGTCCGCCCCTGGGTGGACAGACTTAGCGGGGACTGTCTGTGATCTGGTAACTACATATCGTGTTGGGAAAACGGTTATTAAGGAACACTGTTTTACAGTAGTTCAACATTATTGGAATGGACGTTTCCTGCCTTAAATGCTACGATGTCATTGAATGGTCAACGTTGCTACGTTAAAAGGTTAAATGAAATGAGCAGACTCCATTACTTCACCAGACTGATAATATGCCAACTATTTGTCGAATATATGCATCCCACCGCTGCCGCCAATGTTAGCGCTATACTTTTAATCTATTATTTCTTCTAAAACCCAACTAAAACCTTTCTAAAACCAGTATAATTCAACCTTCCTTTCTTAACAACGCTTACTCCACAAGGAGCCCAAGTGTTCCACAGACAAGTCTAATAAAGAATCACAATAAACTAATTCCTATCAATAGGTTCAGATTAGCCTGCTTATCTAGCAATGTAATCTTTGGGATACAACTAGCTGAAAAAATACAAGAATTTTCAGGTAGTTGTATCCCTATCAATCCAAAGCTTTCTGGTTTACCCATTAAGCCAATTAACATTCAAATGCTCATCACACTGAATATTGAAGTTTCACAATGCAAATACTTTCATCAGAATAGGCAATGTTTCTTTCTGCAACTGTTTGATATAATTAACATTGACATTACATTCAATAATTGTAAGGAAGGTTTTATAATATTCAACCCACAGAAATATTGATTTTATTTTTAAATCCCCTTGTCCCTGTAATAAATTTACAGCTAATTTGGTCAAAATATCCCTCCTTTCCCCTCCTCAGGGAGTCAGGGTTACCTACTTAAAAGGCTAAATTACAATGAATACTACAAAGGTCATGCACATGTTGAAAATGAGCAAGCATCTTAGTTTTGAAAAGTAAATCTTTCTTCTAAAAAGTAAATAGAGATTATTTCCTCAGGTGCGCCTGATTTCAAATGTCCCTTCCCTGGGGAGCTGCAAGAAAGTCAAAGTTCTGTGCCTCGGGACATACATACAAGTCAGTCAATAACGAGCTTAAGCAAGCAACACTTTTGTCAACACAGACGTCAGATGCAGAGGGGGTGGGGGGGGGGGGACTGGATTAAAATAACAAAATAGGAACCTTACAGAAGGTCGGCTTGTTGGTTTTGCCTATGATTTTGGGCTAACTATTGAAATGCTGTCACCATGGTCCTAGTCAGTATGCTTATGAGAGGCATTCCCCCCCTGAAAATATTCAAAATGGTGTACATCCAGGAGGGGTGAATGCCTCTCATAACTGCACTGGGTAGGAACATGGCAACTTGGCAAGTGCATTTTGATGATGAATCAACAAATCATTGCAAACCATGGCGTGGCAGTGATTACCAGACTGTTGCATTCCTCACAAAGAAATTTTAGCTGAATTTCTGTCTGCACATTTTCACGAAAATCCTACAAAGTCTGCATATTTTGCGCCTTGCAAAAAGAGGTAGGGAAAACTCTGAAAATGTTATTTCCGACAATCTAGAGACTCCAAATTTTCAAAATTCTCTCAAATGTTCTGCCTTCATTTCCGTGCAACTGCCATTTACGACGGAAAAGTTTCCTGTGCAAAAATAATACTTTACAGTCTGGAGCGCCAGGATCGGTTACACTTTTATGTCCGAGTCGACCTTGTATAATGTTCCTATTCTGTGCCAGAATCTTAGTGTAAATTAAAATTACCATAAACTGTAACACATTCTCTCAAAACATGTCTTGTCTGAGATTTTTCATATCCTGGGGGTGAGGTGAGTACTCCGTGTCTGTCTCTGACATATACCAAGCTTGCATCTTCAACATTTAGACAATCATCATTTGCCTGGCAAAACATTTCAATTGTCACAAAGGACCGTGGCCTTGGAATGTTTAGAACAGCTGCTGTATTTATCGATTTCTACTTTAAATGTTATATCACTCCTTCACGCGCACCATATTTTATTTCAATACTTCGAAATTTTCGCATGTGCAAATATCCCTATCTATCCATACCACTAAAGCTCAGTGCTTCTCACTTGGAATGATTTATCTTTAAAAACAGGAATTGATCCTTGCGGCCGCGTTCGCTGGTAGTTGTAGTTTGGAAATAGACGTAAGATGTGTGATATGAGATCAAATATGTGGTTACATTCACTGATCTGCATTGATCAGTGGTTACTTTCATATTACTATCCCAAAATATAAAGTTATAAACATCATTGGAATCGGAAAAAACTAACGAATTTTAGAATTAGTACCAAGGAATTTGTGAGGATTTCCCACTGGGATTTCCGGATTTCCCTGAGTCAATTTTCCCTCCATGCTCCTACTTATCCATCGCTCACGTTTCAAGATGGCTGATTTTGGAGATGAAGATTTATTTGCAGTTTTCGACAATGTTGAGACGAACAAGAAAGATGAGAAAGCAGCAGAAGTGAGAGATGGAAGTGCTAAAGATTCTGTTAAACGTATTTTCCTACAACGTGGTGAGAAGCGTGGGCATGAGGAGAGTATAGATGGTGTTTCACTCGATGATGGCGCTGATGAGGGTGATAAATTGAAACGCGTCAAGAAACCAGACGATGAAAGGTATAGCATTTTTAAATTCCTTTGCTACTGTCATTATTTATATATCATATAAATATCACCATACAACTCCGTACAGGTTTGACACCAGATCCCAAATGTGTAAAATGTGCTTATGTAGTCATGTTGGCGAGGCAGACGCAGACCGCCAGACCTAGGCTGCATTCCCAAAAACCTGATGCCGAATCAGACTGCATTCTTTGCAAAATGCATGCCGGATGTATAAAATTATCAATGAAATTGTCCTCTTCTTTCTTACCAAAGTGGACATTTGCATCCCAAGGTAAAAAGTTACAGTTCAATGAAATGGTTTATTAGTGCAGAGGTCATGTGACCTGGTTATGCACTGTTGTGAGGACTCAACATTCAATCAAGTGGCTGATCAAGGGATAGATGGATCAATAGACCAAACAATCCTGGGGAAAGCTTGCAAATGATGTTGAAATGATTATAATCTTTATTCTGAATAGTTAATCTGCTCCAGGAGCACTCTCTCACACCAGTGATTTTCAGAGAGGTCTCGGAAAAGTTTACATATATTCATAAGTTATAAGGTCCTAATATAAATATATAGATTACAAAGTCCTAATACATACATAGATCTACAGATAATTTAATTAAGATAAAAGTTCAGCTAGAAAGTTATGCTTTATTAATTAAAGGCTTGAACACTATTTGAATTTCTAACATATTCACTATAGGTTGTTACATTCCTTAACGGCTTGATACTTGAGCCTTTGCTTGCCCCAGTTTTTGCTTACTTTGGAAAGTCTAAGATTATCTTTGCTCCTACTATTCTACTTATAAATATTAGCATTTATCAAGAAAGCCAAGTTATGCAATGTTAAATTATTAATAAGGCACTTAAGGTTACATAGACATCTATGGTATCGATTGTGGTCCTCCTGCTGAATCCAAACTGAAGAGCATTCGTCGCTGATGAGTACAATGGTCTATCTAAAATTACTTTAGAGACTTATTTTGTAATATTTTAAGGAGCTCGACCATTATTTCCACATTATCTCCCCATTATCTCTCCAAATAATATCAGCAAATGTTCTTCAGCTATTATGTTTTATGGAACTTTGCAATGTTCGGTCAACAACTAACTTCTGTATTATTAGGAAGCTGATACTGATTTCCATGATACTGCTAAATGGAATACAAAACTTTGGGGTTTGAGACTGGTGTGCACTGAAAACAGTGTTGTAAATACTTGTTACTATTAAAGCAATATGTTACTAATTATTTTTTGAGTAATTGTTTGGTAATCAATAGACAACTTGCATGTTAGACTAATATTTGATCTAGGAAAAAAACTTATTAAAATTAGTAAAATTGCAAAATTTGGTTACAAAATGTTGTAAAATACAGAAAATATAGCCTTGCAAACTTTGCATATTTTGTTAACAATTTCCGCACATAATACAAACATATACAAAATTTGAAAACTTTGCAAGGCTATATTTTCCTAGCCTGCTCACAGCCCGAAATTTCGTTCAAAGGCAAATTTCCTCTTCACATTTTTGAGTGGGGGCTGCGGGCTATATTTTCCAAGCTTTACAACATTTCATAACCACATTTTGCAATTTTACTAATTTCATTATGTTTGTTTTAGCTGAGGTGTTTGATTCCCTTCTCTTTACTTCTAAGATTAAAATTTAATTTAAGGTGTAAGTTGTTCATTAATTACTTGTACAAAAGTAATTCTGTAACATAAATTATTTACTTTTTTAAAGAAACAAGTAACATTTTGAAGAAAGTACATGTAATTTGCAATACTTCTAGTTCTGTGTGCTTTTAAATTTTTTTCGAATGGCATTGAAGTTAAATGTCTGTGGAGGGTTAGGACTGGTTATGCAGCTGCACAGAAATTTCCCTACTCCAATTAAGTAACAAATTCAATGCAGTTGAACTATACAACTTTTTTTGTATGTTGCTTATGTGCACTTTGATATAATTGTAGCAATTCAATATTAGTAGTGCCTAGTAAGTAAAAATTAATCTGACAAATAATTAGTAATCAAAATGAAAATTTGTTTCCAGATTTCAGAAACTTTTGCCCAGATTTTCCCTTAATTCTTCAGGACTGGAATATTTCAAAGGTGTCTCGATCTTCCTCAGCTAGATGTGAAACTGAAACGTAAATAAAGTTTTTGATTGATTGAAAACCTGTCATGGATATTAAATTAATTCAGTATTTATTTTTAAATGATGTATTGTAGTTCTATACTTGAATCAGTTCCTGTTGTTGAAATCATTACTGTGGACACTTTTGAAGCTTGTACTCATGAGGTAAGGAAGTATATTTGCGTTAACCATTGAGCGCGCTTTCCTCTTGACAGGAGAAATTTCCCGGAATTTGGCAGTGAGAGCATTAGGGTACAATGCAACTTAATGGTTAATTACTGTAGACACATGGGCAGATAGTCTTATTAATCTACTCAGTGCCAGCACTCTCCCCTTGATGAGTAAAATTGTCAGCGTTCAGACAGTGAGACCAAAATGGAGCAGCTGAGAAAATGGTAAATAGGGATGATTAGGGCGCAATGCAACTTAATGGGTTAAAAACATATAGAAAACGATGTAAATGTACAGCCATTGTTACTACATTATATATGTAACAAGTTTTAATTAAACACATTTATTAAATGTCTGCAAGCTGGTTAAATGGTTAAAAACCTTGTATCTAAGTGAACAAGTACGATCGTACTATAGTGGACCAGAAACTGCGTGACCCAGTTTCGATCTTGTGCAAATCGTTAAATGTTCAAAACCTTCGAGATTTTGACTTGATAAACAAATAACTAGACACTTGTAAAACTAATGTTCTCGAAGTTGGCAACGTAGACTGAGTTCGCTAAATGTTTTGCTTTAATTTGGTCATGCAAGATATACTTTATCCGGGCAAAAATATGTGTCTGGTCATGCCGTGTATAAATGAGTGTAAATCAGGACAGATAACTAAATGCGCAGTTTTCAAAAGTGTATACACGCATTCGAATTTCCCACAATATTAAGACTAAACATGCCGTGCCTAAATTTAACTTTTGCCGTAACAAATTTTGCCGTGCCGTGCCTGCCATTGCAAAATATTGCAGCTGCAGTCGTGCACGTGCCGTGTAAACAGGACTTAAGTTAAAGGTAACAAGTTATCTGAATTGTTGCTATAGGTTAATGCAGTTCATTTCGCTTAGTCTTGGCTGCATAACTACATACTTGTGCTAAAAACAAATTGACATGTCTTTGTTTTTTACGGTTCGCGATTTTCCGGCTATGACTATGAATATTATATGAAAGCCAGATAGGAGTATATTACTCTTCTGCGCTTTGGGAAACTAAGCCAGCGTGCATGTTAAATTAATTAATCGTTATAATTAGTCGTCCACATTCTTGAGAAGCTTTAGATTATTGTGATTGTGTTCACAACGAACAATAGAGAAGACAATGTCTTTCTTATCATTTGCGTTTGCTGATATACTTGCTGAATATTAATGATATGCAGTGGCGTAGCTAGCGAAATTCGACAGGTCCTGCTCTAAAACTCACACATTCTAGGGGGGTCCGGGGGCATGGTCCCCCCGGAAAATTTTTAATTTTAGAAGTCTGGAATGGCCATTTCCTGCGATTTCACGGCAAAATACTCCAAAGGGAGCATAAAAAAATTAGAAAAATTCAAAAAATAAATCACTTTTTGACTATATATTTTTCAACTTAAAAATTTAGCTAAATATAGTCAAGTCGGTGTAAGAGGAAAATATCATGTTTTCAATACACGTCTGTAATATGATCTTTCAGTTGGTCAACGCGGAATTGCGTAACTGAACAATTGTTGTAGTGCCTGTTGAATATACAACACTACAATGACTACATATACGGCTAGCATTCGATAAAAAATTACTACGTTTGGTTAGTAATGTTTAATAAACCATATTAAAAGGAGTGGTATCAACTACGAACCACTACGCTTGGTACTCCGTACTCTGATTGTATAATTCAGTACGCTATGCCTATGGCTATGGTATTTAAATATAATAAAATTGCCGTAGCGTACTAGCGTTTAAAGTAAATATAGTGTATTAAAATGCGGCCAAATATCTACATAAATAACATAAACTTTGTAAATCTAAATGGTAGCTATATTATTTCCATATAAGCGCTCGTGTTTCATGCCTCGTTTCATGCAATGCATAAAGCAGATGAACTGGCAAATATAAATACGTTCATACTTTATATCAAAATACGACACAAAATACACGATCGAGTCTGTTGACATGCATTTCGTGAGCTAAAATATCTTAGCAGGAGCCAGAAATTATATCCAAATCACAATGGGCTTCCACGCTGGTTGATTTCCATATTCATCACTTGAGGAATCTTGACAGAGTTAGTAAAAAGTGGGTTTAATCACGCGAAAAGCTCGCAAGTAAAGACAATACAAGGCCAAGTTCTGCCATTTCGAGAGAGCAGGACTTCGCATCAGGGCTGCCACTCTCCGTTCCCTATTTTCACCTATGGCGGGCACTGAAATCCCCTACGTTTCCCCTACAGCACGATATGCAATTGTCCCCAATGTTCCCCTACGTTCCCCTACAAATATTGTATTTTCCCTACTAATATTGTATATTTGTAGGGAAAATACACTGGGCTGTATAATAACTGGAGGACCTGCTCTTATACTTACTACACAATAGAGAGTTAAGCTTCACGTTCAACGACGAACGTCAGGCAAAGAAAAATTCTACGATAAAAAGCGATAAAAAGTAAATGGGCTTGTTGTTTCATATGAAGGAAAATATGACACGCAGAAATCGAACGACTTTATGCCAAGAAAAGTCGGCCTTGCCGTTTGGCGCTCCCGCAAACGTGAAGCTCAAACTCCCTATTACTCTAAAACCCGAGCAAAATTGCAAAAATCTAAAGTTTTTTCAAATAACCAGGGGGTGTGGAAATTGTAGCGGGCTCAAATCCGAGCCTGGTCAGTGGTGAGAATTACGGACCAGTTGTCATGGAAATGCCGTAAGCAAAGGCCAAAATCCGCCATGTTTTTGGCTGCACTTTTTTCGCGTGAAGGTTCTCCTGGGAAAATACAATATCACTCATCACCATACTCATCACATGATATTTCAGTGCTTCCACATTCAAATTTAAATTTCTAGTTTCCATAAAAAACCTGCAGTTCCATACAATGTTCCATACTCCATAGAAGCCATAAAATATTGAAATTTACGGAAGAACTGATTTGGATAATCACAAAAAGAGAAATGCGACTTTTGTAGGTAAACCGTAAAAGAAACCCCCTACGTTCCCCTACAAATTACCATTTTCCCCGTAGGTATTCCCTACTCCCTACAAGAGGTGATAATCCCCTACTGTAGGGGAATCCCCCTACGAGTGGCAGCCTTGCTTCGCATTTGTAAACAGCCGATTTGAGCATGCGCAGATCTAATTATCCAATCAGAAACCAAGATTTCTTGTATGAATTTACTATGAAATATACTAGCAAGTCCTGCCATTTGAAAATGGCAGGACCGAAACACGAGCGCGTGTAAAGCAATATATTGCCCAGAAATGAGCTTTTATAGAGCTGCAGTTGCTAGGTAACAGACACGACAAGCTGTAAAATTGCGTAAATGTAATAGAATACGGAAAACTTTTAAAAAATAATAACGAAAATACGAGAAAATTATACAAAATAACAGTATGATAATAATATATTTTTAAAGCTTCAAGATAAATAAAGTAATGTTTTAGTAAGGAAATTTGGCGAATTTTTTAGTCCTGCTGGGCAGGACAAGCAGGACCGCTAGCTACGCCACTGATGATATGTGTATAATATTTGCTACGAAAACAGACAAAAATTGCTTGTATTTCGCTTCTAAAGTCAAAAATGAAAAATCGAACACCGTCAATCGATGCGGAATATTGCTTAGAATAATTGTGTCAACTTTCATTCCGATCGGACAAGAAATGACGGAGCCTTAGGGTTTTTTCAAAGAGCGTCGCCCCCTAACAACAACAACAACAACAACAACAACAACAACAACAACAACAACAACAACAACAACAACAACAAGATTAGCAGTGATTGGGGACCAGTTCCTGGTCCAAAAATTGTGCAACCTAGATTTTTATATTTACAATTTTTTTGTTTTCAAATATACTGTGAAGGTATTTGTCCACGGGTTCTCTGGTTTACTCCCCTTGCTGAAAACTAAACCTTCCACCTTAGATGTGCTTTGTAACCAGATATTGGTCGTAGTTAGTCAGACTGTGTGAACGTCATTGGCAAGGCCCCTAACTTTACATTGCCGCTAATGCAACATACATTTTCTTCCATCAGGTTGCAGTCCCACAAGGTGTTACATATACTGAACTACAAGTTCCTACAACAAAACCAGCCAAGGTACCTTTCAGTAGATCACTTTCAAATACCGGTAATGTCCCTGCAAATGCCGGTTGTCAAACAGGGGTTAAAATTTACAGTACATTTGCTTCAACTATAGACAACCAGAATAAGTTTACTATTTAACAATTATTCGCCGAAGGCGAGGCGAATAATTGTTTTAGTATTTTTACACAAGCTTTTGTGTTTTTTGAGACTGAATTTATTTAATTTCGCTTATTTCTTTGTCAGTATAAAACTTCCACAAAACGCGGGTAGCCGCCATTTTGAAAATTTCTGTTTTGTTATATTCACCTGTAGGTGAATATAACAGCTTATTACGTCAAACCAATCAACCTGTAGGATTTGTTATGTTCCCTTGTACAAAAATACTAATACTATTTACTGATGATACTATTTACTGATGTCTCTGACGCCTGTTCACAGGCTAGTGTCTCTGATAATTGTGTTGTAAGTCGCACAACCTCTGAACTGAAGATCAGCAAACAAACACAGCAAACATCTACCAAACAACAAGAATCTACAGCTATCAAATTCACGTGCAAAAATTCACGTGATAGTAAAATGATCCTCAATAATGTAGCAGTGATATTATAAATTGACACTAACCACAATTTTTTCTACTATATACAAACGGAATACCGAGATCATGAAGTTTATACTATTGTGTCAGGCATTTTACTAATTACTATATACAGAATAGCGTAAATTTCGACCCCTGTAATAGTGTATATCGAGTTGTGTTGATGGAGGCAAATAAATAGAATAGAGAGATGTAAGTGTATTGGCTAAGCAGCCCTCGAAAACGAGGTCGGCATTCGGCAATTGCCGATCTAAATGTCGACCTATCAACCTCCCTGCAGGTTTGCCGACCTTAATTCAGTCAAAGTAAGAATTTTTTGGTGCTGATATATAGCTGTTAAAAAGTCAGCGATTATAGAATATGATTCGTAGTTCGATTAACTGAACACACTTCGGTGTAAGGTTTAAAAATTGACGGGTTCTAAATGAGTAATTTAGGTAAGACTCCAAATGAAAAGCCGTCGTGTTACTGTAGTTCGCGTTTCCGCAGAAAACGGCATGCTTTATATTCCGATTTCAATGATTCGTAAATACGTGATTACTAGTGCTCCAAGACATGGAAACAGATTTTAAAAAATGCCGACCTAGGTCAGATTCAGACTTCCTATAAAGCCCCCTTCAAATGTAATCATTATTTCTAGGAATATCCATTTGTTCTTGATCCTTTTCAAAAAGAAGCTTTGAGCTGTATAGAGAATACTCAGTCAGTGCTGGTCTCTGCTCACACCTCGGCTGGAAAAACTGTTGTGGCTGAGTAAGTCAATATACTTACAGTATGGATTTTGTATTGCTTAATATAATACCGTATAACAGGGTGCCCCCAAACATGTCCCAACCATATTTTGTGGTATTAAGGTCGATTTATACTACACTGACAACTTTTGCCAAGAAGGAGGAATTTCGTTCTCGACCAATCGATACATTTGTTGACATTTTCGCTCTAAGCCAATCAGAATGCGTAATTGGTTACTACTTCCGGTAAAAACAGACATTTGAACAGAAAATATAGGGTCTTAAATAAAGTTTCGAGGGGATTTTTAATTTGTCAGGATTTTTAATTTTTTGATTGGATTCAACGTGACAAGGCAAAATAAGAAATTTTCTAAAAATTCGCCGCTTGGATTTGCGTTTTATTACTTAGTTTTAAAGTTATCGGCATTCGAACAGCGGCGTATAAAAAGCGCGAAATAAAACGCAAATCCCAGCGGTAAATTTTAGAAAATTTCTTATTTTACCTTGTCACGTTGAATCCAATCAAAACACTAAAAATCCTGACCCCCTCGAAGCTTTATTTAAAGACCCTATATTTTCTGTCCCAATGTATGTTTTTCCCGGAAGTGGGCTTTTTGTGCTCGCAATGCTCGCAGGGAAACTACCTACAATAACCAATTACGCATTCTGATTGGGGTAGGCTCGCAGTAGCTCGGAAGAGTGATTTTCATTGGCTCGATTTGACAATTGCTTTTGTGTTTATAACAATGAATTGCTTCGTTCTTTAGAAAACCCCCATCCAATTGGAGTCGACCTTCCGAGGCACTGCGAGGCTTCCCTCTGATTGGCTTAGAGCTAAATTAGTAAATTGTCAACAAATGCGCTGATTGGTCAAGAACGAAATCCCCCCTTGTTACTTTTGCCTACAACTGTCACATGCAACCTGCTTACAACCTGAGTTGTACTGTGTAAATCAAGCACACAACTTACCTACGACAACGTAGGCAAAAGTTGTGTAGTGTAAATCGGCCTTTAGAACATTGGCCGTAATAAAGAGGTGACCGTATGCACGGGGTGGACGTAAGGCGGGATGCCACTGTATAGGAGTTAGTTCCCCAGGGATAGTGCTGCTACTCAGCTGTTTAATGACTCAATGTGAGTGAATGTGCAGAAACCTGTGCAGAATAAATTAACATAAAATCCATTCAAATTGTATTTATAAAATAACCAAATGAGTAAATAGACAGCATTTGGTTTTGTGTAATTTGTATATTTGTTGAGGTAATTAGTGCGATCATGGATAATAAAATAAATGGATAGGAAACTAGCTGACGTGACCTAATGTTTTCAATGGCCTGATGGCGTGATTGGATGTTGAAACCTAGTTGCAAACAAAATTCTCAAAAACTGCATGTTTAGCAATAATACAGCTAAACATTTTAGTCAAAGAGCAAATAAATATAACTACACCATTCTACGATGAAATCTCTAAGTATTCCCAGTCAATTTTAGCAAATATTTCAAGCACTAAACAGGGAAAATGCATCGCAAATTTCGTTAAAATTGGCGACGCCAATTTCGTAGCTACAAATGTAAAAAAATACAAAACAAAGACGAAAAACATTTACCTTGAATACTTTGTCGTGGCTTAGGCATGTTTTTAAAACAATTAGACCAGTTTATGCTTCAATATTATCAGAATGTTAGGGTTTGTAATCCAAGTGAGAATATATACATTTTAAGACGTAACCAGGAACGACTGCGAAAAATGCAGCACAAGGTCCTCTGGTAGGAATTGAACCTACGGTCCTGCGATTCCGGTGCAGCGCTCTAACCAACTGAGCTACAGAGGCCAGCTGTTGAGCTGTAACCGTAAGTTCATGTATATATAGGTAATCGGGTGTGCGGATGCTTCAATATTACTCTTTTAAAGCGGAAAATATAGCGAAACAACAAAAATGCTGAGAACTTTGGCAATACGCGTGACGTCACAGATTGCAACTAGGTTTAGACTGTGACGTCAGGAAGTTTCCTATCCAGTTATTTTACAATCCATGGTGCTATATAAAGGTAGAAAGGTTTAAACTTTTCCGTCTGTATACGTAGTACCTAAACACCCAACTGGAATGCAGCATATAGTAAATATATTTAGAGTTTTATATAATCTCAAGGAAGGTGTTATTGGAGAAATATGTATTTGCCTTGTGATGCTGGTCGAAATGAGAGTTACTGTCTATATTATAACATATACTGACTGCGCAAGGTGAATGTTTAGCAATGAAATTTATATCTATATTGTATTTTTATTTCAGATATGCAATAGCTTTGTCTTTGAGAAATAAACAACGAGTGATTTATACAACACCAATTAAGGTTTGTAAATCTTACTGTACTCAGTACATAGACAAGAAAAACACTCTATTCCGAGTGAAACTACACTTACAACGAAGCACCTTAAATTTTGAGATTGCTCTGATAGGTGTGCAGATATTTGGCACATCTGCATTGTTTTGACTCATGATACATTCAGAAAGCACGTTCAAAACATTTGTTTGATTTGAGATATAGCAATGTTTGCGAGAGGTCCTATGTACTGTAATTAGTATAACCGCATAAACAATATCATGAATTTCGAACCTGATATGGACAATGAACAGCGCAACAGTACCTTGGCCTTGGTTCAACTTATGATTTAGAGGTCTGGTCAACAACTCGGAGATTTTGCATTGAGTTTATTGAGTTTCTCACTCGTTGGTGAGCGGATTTCCAAACAGGTTATTGCCCAATTGATAGGGCATCCGAGGTACCTACGATTTAACGTACTTATCCGACAAGACGCAAAGGTCTAACCCTGGCAATGTAAGTGTAGCTCTTTCTCGTCAATTTAAGACCTTGAGTAGAGGTCCGACCAAGGATTGAACCTTGGACCCCAGCTTGACCCACAACATCACAAGTGCTGGACTGCTGGTTTATATGTTTCCATTCCCACAGGCTCTGAGTACTATATGCATGTGGCCAGACCTTGTTTGAACTCCCCCACTGTTACAGGGTTGGTGTAATATACGACAACTCTGAGATTTTATGTACAATGTTTGCATTCCCACAGGCTCTGAGTATTGTATGTGGCCAGACCTTGTTTGAACTCCCTCACTTTTAAAGGGTTGGTGTAATATACAACAACTCTGAGATTTTATATGTAAAATGTCTCCATTCCCACAGGCTCTGAGTATTGTATGTACCCAGACCTTGTTTGAACTCCCCCACTGTTAAAGGGTTGGTGTAATATACGACAACTCTGAGATTTTATATGTAAAATGTCTCCATTCCCACAGGCTCTGAGTATTGTATGTACCCAGACCTTGTTTGAACTCCCCCACTGTTAAAGGGTTGGTGTAATATACGACAACTCTGAGATTTTATATGTAAAATGTCTCCATTCCCACAGGCTCTGAGTATTGTATGTACCCAGACCTTGTTTGAACTCCCCCACTGTTAAAGGGTTGGTGTAATATACGACAACTCTGAGATTTTATATGTAAAATGTCTCCATTCCCACAGGCTCTGAGTATTGTATGTACCCAGACCTTGTTTGAACTCCCCCACTGTTAAAGGGTTGGTGTAATATACGACAACTCTGAGATTTTATATGTAAAATGTCTCCATTCCCACAGGCTCTGAGTATTGTATGTAGCCAGACCTTGTTTGAACTCCCCCACTGTTAAAGGGTTGGTGTAATATACGACAACTCTGAGATTTTATGTAAAATGTCTCCATTCCCACAGGCTCTGAGTATTGGATGTGGCCAGACCTTGTTTGAACTCCCTCACTTTTAGAGGGTTGGTGTAATATACGACAACTCTGAGATTTTATGTACAATGTTTGCATTCCCACAGGCTCTGAGACTTCTGAGTATTGTATGTAGCCAGACCTTGTTTGAACTCCCTCACTTTTAGAGGGTTGGTGTAATATACGACAACTCTGAGATTTTATATATGTACAATGTTTGCATTCCCACAGGCTCTGAGAATTGTATGTGGCCAGACCTTGTTTGAACTCCCTCACTTTTAAAGGGTTGGTGTAATATACGACAACTCTGAGATTTTATGTAAAATGTCTCCATTCCCACAGGCTCTGAGTAACCAGAAATATCGTGAGCTGTATGAAGAGTTCCAGGATGTTGGTCTAATGACAGGTGACGTCACAATCAACCCAAGTGCGAGTGCCTTGGTCATGACGACTGAGGTAGACCATGGATTTCATTAAAATTCTGTCAAATTAGTTTGTGTTTATACACACGGAGATGCTTTGTAGTTTAGTTTGTAACTAAACTTTTGTAATTAAACTTTTGTATTTGAAATATTTTATAGATCTTAAGAAGTATGTTATACCGTGGTTCAGAGGTACATAATAATGCTTCTCGTTTCATTTCGCCTAGATAAGCATTCTATTTTTTTAAGAGGAATCTCGTTCGATAGTGTTTCACTTGTCTTCAGCATTGTACTGTAGGAATGATAACTTGGAATATTACCTGGCTTTGTTCGCCGTTGTATAAATGTAGTGGGATTTTCCCAGAGGGATTTTCCCGTGTTGAGTGTTGGCATGCATATAGTATTTTTCAGTGTCTCAATAGTTCTGGGAATAGTTTAGTCGTCAAAGCACTAATAGGTTAAACCGGTTTCAATTCCTGGTTGAGGTATTCAGAAATCCACTCTCCACCACGTGTTTCATTTGAACACCACAAGTTGTTATACCTACATTCACTGCTGACGACACCACGTTGCACTGTCATTCTGGCTTGCCTATATTGCTGGATTGCCAATACCGCGTTGAGTGCGGGCTTAGAAAATATTTCTGTGTGTCTCAAAGCCAAAGGGTATCGCAGTAGTCCATATAGTCAAAGCTAGTTAGTACGTTAAACCAAGAAACCATGCAGCTGATTTAGAAAATATTTTTTAACAAACTTCATTTGGGCATCACAACTTACCGTTAAAATGAGACGATATTCTTCGTAATGATTACGTTGCACTAATTTGTTTTTAGATTTTTAAGTATTTTTCAGTTTATTTATATTTGTAGGTTATGAGAGAAGTGGCGTGGGTAGTTTTTGATGAGATTCATTACATGAGAGACAAGGGTAGGTTTACAATATGTCAATGTTATACGACAGACATATTTCGGGACTGTTGGTGGTACATTGGGTTAATATATATGTTGCATTTACTTTTCGTATTTGTGACCGTCCTTCCATCCATCGTAGTCGCACGTGAGAAAAATGTTTCCATTTTAAACCAAACTGGTTTTTTCCTGGTAGGAATAGTGTTACAACGGAAGAACTGCGGGAGAACAGTTTGAAACTGATAGAGCTATCCATGCAGTATAACTAAAGTTAGTTTAGGTTTCCTCCAGTATAACACTGGACCAACAACGGATGAGCCTTATTTGACCTCTAGAGATAAATTTCGTTTGCTCATACTCCTAGGAAGTACTGAAAATAGTCACGTTTAATGTTATTGTTGTTGTTGTTGTGTCTATAGAGTTTAGGAGGAACAGATTGGAAAAAAGTTGTAACTTTATCTGTTTATCCTCAATAAATAAAATAAAACTGTTATTATACCAGTTTAGAACTGATAGAAGTTTTATATATAAAGACGTGAAGTTGTGTCTCAGAACTTTTTACAACTTCGCTAGTGTGCAATGTTTTAGTGTTTCTTTCGAAACGTTTTTTGTTAATTGCGATCAATAAAGTTTGGCGGGTCTTTGTTTGACGTGATGTGAAGTACAACAACCTTACTGCAACTTGCAACAGTAAAAACTGTTCAACGAACATTAAGGAGACATATTTACACTTGTTGTTTGCCTCGTGTTGCCTACTGTTTTGTAACTTATATCTGGGTATTCACGGGCCTTCAAAATCCTGCAAAGTTCTTGAATTTGAAAAAAAATAAAACCAGGCGTGGAAAGTCCTTGAAAATTAGTGCAGGTCCTTAGAAGTCCTGGAATTTCTTTCCAGCTGTGCTGATAATACTTGGACATTATTTGGACTGTTGATCTTGAATAAATATTAGTGTTAATTTTAAAAAGCGAAATGTGTGCCATTTTCAAAGATTTTCCCAGTTTTATGTCCTTGAATTCACTGAAAAACGTCCTTGGAAGTCCGGAGAAATTCCTTGAATTTCATCTTCGCTAAAGGGTGGAAACCCTGTTTTATCTAAACGTGTTTATTTAACATGTGTTGAAAAATCAGCAAGTTGCAGCGACTTTATTGCTGACAGTGTATGTTACATGACGTTTTGTTTAGTACCAAACTAACACCAAACTTTTCATTTCCTAGAACGTGGTGTCGTATGGGAAGAGACAATTATTTTATTACCAGATAATGTTCATTATGTGTTTCTTTCTGCGACAATTCCGAACGCTAGTCAGTTCGCAGGATGGATAGCACATCTTCATAAACAGGTTTGTAACTTTTTCATGAAGCAAGTTGGAGAACACCGAAGCTTTTTGTGCCTATACCATATTTATCCTGACATGATCTCATAATCAGTCTGTGTGGTTTATTTTCCTATTGAGATTAGATCATAACTAGGGTTAGATTAGTTTAAGTGTTAGAATGTACAATCTTGGGCATAACTTATACAAAATTTGCATACCCCTAATGATAAATTCCCTGTAAAGTCATCATGTGCTTCCTAAGCTCCCACTGCCCACAACTCGATGTTGCATTAGCTTGTGTCATGGTAAACTACCAACAGTTCTTTCGAAGTTGTTCACAAACTAGAACTGGGGGAGAGAGAGAAGGTGACGAACTTCGTTTTGTCAATCTACGTTAACCTTGCAATATTGGGAGGAGCGGTCTCATGGGTTATGTCCAAGATTAAGATTAAGTGTTAGAATGTGGGTTTTAAAGGATTTGGATTGCAAAGATTAGGAATAGTTTGAGAATAAGAAATTTCTGTATTTAATTTGTGGTGACAACATGAAAACCCAATCTTTCAGTCATGTCTTATTGTATGTTATATTTGATTGTTAGCCGTGTCATGTGGTGTATACAGAATTCCGTCCTACTCCATTACAACATTATATCTACCCAGCTGGTGGTGATGGCTTGTTCCTGGTTGTTGATGAGACAGTAAGTTTTTAAATATTGAATTACTGTACGATATGCCCCATTCATACCACAGACGGAGTCGACGGACGCTTTATCAGTCTATTCAGGCGAAATATGTAGACAATCTAGCACGATCTATTCTAACTTCATCTATCGCTGGCGAGTTGCGGGTGTGATTCCCACCGTGGTCAGGCAAACTTTTCAGCCTGCCCGGTGTGGATATACACTCAGAGTAACATCCAAAACATTACGAAGACAAGTCTCACTAATAGCCACCTTAAAAGCATGTAGGACGGGAACGCGACGGCAAACAAACTCGTTGAAGCAAATGATTGCAGAAGAAAACTTGTTGTCAGTTATCCATCGTATGAAAATAATACTTTTTAAGGATTGAGGTTAACACAGGGTTTGATTGAGAAAAGTTCTGTAGGACCCAATTTTAAATAGCAGTTTTCCCAGCTTGAAATGTAAGCGTTGTATACAAGACGTGATAATCTGTATTTTGCCGTTGTAAACAGAGAGATGGCGACGTCTAAAACTTTCTTTCTAGCCGTCCTCGTTGCACTTTCGTCCAGCTTAATAAAAGTAGTTCTTTGTAATTATCAAAGAGAAAAAGTTAAAGCTGTTTGTTGTCACGTACTAGATTAAGCCTTGCTTAAGTTCCCTATAATACAGACTAACTACACAGATCATTGGTCTTGATGGATGATCCGGCTGTTTTTCGCTTTTATACACAAACGAATGATGAGACCAACGACGTTTTCGTTGCCTAAGTTTGTGCAAAGAGTCATCCGCCTCTAGCAGAAATCAGGCAATAAATAGATACGTACTTAAGGGAAAATGGTAACTTGAAGTGAGTCAACTGTGCTTCAATTGTTCTTCGAGCGACGTTTTGCGTATCCAAATCACATTGCAGTTCCATCATGGCTATTTTTAAACACCAATGGACGATGGAACAGTTGAATATTTGATATGCATATTTCAAAATATTCAATCTCAGTTACATACTGTGATTCAACTACAACTTTATCCCGACGCAGATCACGTCATGCGCAGTGGACACTACAAATTTGTCTTTCCGAAATTTTGCCTAAGGAATATTTTGCGTTCTATAGCTATATAGGTAATCTCTCACAGGTATCGATATTTATTTCAGGGAAATTTTAGAGAGGATAATTTCCAGAAATCAATGGCCGTGATTCAGGAGGGACCTGGGTCGGGACAGCAAAGAGGAAGGAAGGGAGGAACTAAAGGTAACGAGTGACGTCATTCGCCTAAACATCGCGCGTACGATGGAATATTTGAAAAATTAGTATGCACAGCATTTGGCCACTCCAATATGATCAAAGCAATGTTTCTAAATGTCAAATCACAATATCCTTTCCAAACATATAGTCTTGTGAATGTAGTCTTGTGATCACCGAGCCTAAGGTGACTAATTGTTTTAGTATAAATTCAGTATTGAAAAATAATAATATATACAAACGTTGTAATATACAATTACTTTATGGTTTCCGTGTTTGGATGGCCTGATCCAAACACGCGGGAATGTTGCGAGAGTTAAGAAAAGCGAGCGAAATCACGAGCCGAAGGCGAGTGATTTTGCCCGCTTTTCTTAACTCGAGCAACATTTCCAAGTGTTTGGATCAGTCCATCCAAACACGGAAACCATAAAGTAATTGTTTTATAAAATAACAACAACACGATAGTCTTCCGTGTTTGGATGGCCTGATCCAAACACGGCTTTTGACCAATCAGAACACGCGTTATATACATGTTATTTTATAAATATAATTTACGTCACTCTTCCGCTTTTGAGTCAAACGAATCCAGCCAACGGAATCTTGTCGCCCGATTCTGTTATTTTCCGGTTTGAAATTGCCAAATAAATTGTTTTAGGCATCTAAAAGGTGCTTTTGTCTTTCGGAAATAGGTTAACACCATATATTGTTGCTTCTTTTGCTTTTAGAAGAATAGTATGTGCTTTAATTTCTTCAACTTTTTCTTCGATGATTTGTTTTGAAAGCAATAGTTACTGCTCAGAGCAGTCTGAGAAGTAACTATTGCCTCAGAGTTACTGCTAAGGGAGCCAATCAGAACGCTTGAAATCCATTTTTCAATACTGAAATTTTACTATTTACACATGTCCTGGAACATTAATTAGGACGAGGAATAAAACGTACTTTGATGGGTATCTTTTCACTCCGTCAATACTGTGTAATTGTTAAATGTTAACTGCATGTGGGTCAAACGTCAGCTTTTTTTTCTGTTTAAAATCACCCTCCTGGAGATAGTCTTTTCTCTAAACGGTGCATGTCGGTGTCTAGAAATGGGTTCGAAATAGATCTTAACAGTTTATATATACTACTTGTTTTGTATTTCAGGCCCTTCAAACACGTTTAAGATCGTCAAGATGATCATGGAGAGAAAATTTCAACCTGTGATTGTGTTCAGTTTCAGTAAGAAAGAATGCGAGGCTTATGCTCTGCAGATGTCCAAGTTAGACTTTAATACAGGTGGGAGGCTAGACTTTAATACAGTTGTACTTTATATGGTTTAATTCCTCCTTTGCTATCAGTAAGGTAGTCTAATTATTGTGTTCTGCAGATGTGCAAGTTACACTTCAATACAAGTGGGATAAATGAATAAACAGTAAACAAGTTCTAGTAATAACTTTTTTGTTCGTTTGTGATCAGGCAGTTAATCTGAAGCTCATGCTCTTCAAATCTAAGACTATATAGTACATGCAGGAGTTGGATTGAACAGCATATGATTTCAGTAAGAACCCTATTTGATCTCTTATCTTAAAACGTTGGGATCAGACCAAGTAATCTTACGATAATAAGTCCACGACCACTATAGTCATATAGACTCTAGTCATTATAGTCCAAGACTATGGCCGTAATTTTCGATAACCACTGAGTATTCTAATAAAATACAAAACAATGGAAACTCCGAAGAAATTCATACTTTTAATTCAACGTTTCGACTACTGTTGAGTCATCATCAGGAATTAATTCCTGATGATGACTCAACAGTAGTCGAAACGTTGAATTAAAAATATGAATTTCTTCGGAGTTTCCATTGTTTTGTATTTTACTATGGCGTATTGATAGAGAAATACTATAGCCCTGTCTAAGACTCCAGTCATAATAGTCCAAGACTATGGCCGTATTGATAGAGAAATACTATAGCCCTGTCTAAGTGTCTAAGACTCCAGTCATAATAG